CGCAGCAAAATGGGATTGCTGAGCATCGCATTGGCTTGATCATGGAGGTTGCTCGTACCTCCATGATCCATGCGGCTGCTCCCCATTTTCTGTGGCCGTTTGTGGTCCGATACGCTGCGCATCAGCTCAACCTCTGGCCCCGTGTCTCTTTGCCAGAGACCTCGCCCACACTCCGTTGGACGGGAGAGGTTGGCGATGCGTCGGCGTTTCGGGTCTGGGGCGCACTCTCCCTTGTCCACGATACCACCGCGAGCAAGCTCTCTCCTCACACTCTTTGTTGTGCCTTCCTGGGCTTCCCCACCGACGCCCCGCCGTGGCAGTTTTACCACACTCGCTCGCGTCGAGTCCTTGCCTCCCAGGACGCCACCTTTGACTAGTCTGTCTGTTTCTACAGGCTCCACCCGCACGTGTCCCACCAGGTCCCCCGGCGCCTGGTACCAGTTACCCCCCCGGTAGACCCCCTCCCCCAATAGGGTCCTGCTCCTTCAGGTGTGTCTCAGGTAGAGCCACCCCCCTTGGTTGAGCCTTTGGTGTTTTCCTCTGACACCTCTGGCCCAGCTGAGGGGGGTGACCCCGCTGTTGCCGACACGGTGACCACTCGTCGCTCTCCACGCTTGGAGACCCCTCCTGTTTTTCCGCCTCGACCGTCTTCGCCGCCTCTGCAGCCTGTAGCTGTGGACACTGGTGCTGCTGGGGGTGGTGACACTGGGGGCGAGGTCGCAGGAGGTGCTGGTCCTGGGGGTGCTGAGACTGGGGGTGTTGAGACTGGGGGTGAGGGTTCTGGGGGTGCTGACTTTGAGGGTGCTGACTCTGGGGGTGCTGCGAGTCCTAGTGGTGGTGGGGCCGTGGTTGCTCCTACTGCAGGTCCTGGCGTTGGACATCAGCAGCCGCCTAGTCGACTCAAGACACCCTCACCGGAGCAGCTTTGTGAGTGGGTCGTTCGGCGAGGCTGCTCTGGTGCGGGAGCGTGGAGTTTCCTAGACGTTGGAGCTGATGGTGCTGGAGGTACTATTAGAGCTGCTGGTGCTGGAGGTACTGCTGGAGGTGCTGGAGGTGCTGGTGCTGCTGGTGCTGGAGGTGCTGGAGCTGTTGGTGCTGGAGGTACTGCAGTAGGTGCTGCAGGTGATGGAGCTGCTAGTCCTGGAGGTGCTCGTACGAGAGGTGCTGGAGCTGCCGGAGCTGGTGGTGCTGCTGGTGCTGGAGGTGCTGGAGGCGCTGGAGTTGGAGGTCCTGGAGGTACTGGAGCTGCTGGAGCTGCTGGTCCTGGAGGTGCTCGTACAAGAGGTGCTGGAGCTGCCGCAGCTGGTAGTGCTGCTGGTACTAGAGGCACTGGAGCTGGAGGTACTGGAGGTGCTGGAGCTTCTGGTCCTAGAGGTGCTCGTACCAGAGGTGCTGGAGCTACCGGAGCTGGTGGTACTGCTGGTGCTGGAGGTGCTAGAGGTGCTACTGGAGGTGCTGGAGCTGGAGGTACTGGAGGTGCTGGAGCTGCAGACGGTACGGGTACGGCGCCACGCCGACCTTTTTTCTACCCGCAGCCGCAGTCGTCCCTGCCACCGCTTGACTCGGCCCTTCGCCAGGTTCTTAGTCTCCCGTCTTTCACTGGCCTCACTCCACCTCTCCTGTGTCCGTCGTCTGGCCCGTCACAGTCACAGTTGCCACCTGGCTCCCCACTGCCTGCTCCTTCTCCCTACACTGAGCTCAGACTCCCTGTCTGAGCGTCGTGAGAATGCGTCTCGTGCCTCCACACCTGTTTGTGCTCGTCGTGTCGTCGCCCGTCCCCGTCCTCCTGCTGTCCCAGGCACTCACGTTATGGCACTTCGTCCTTCCTCTGTTCCACTGCGTGTTGCCCTTCCGTCTCCTCCGGCGTCCTCTCTTCCTGACGTTCGTGACCCTGAGTCCGACCTTGCTCGTGCTGCGAGTCCTACTGTCACTCGTCTCCTCGCTACTGTCGTCACCGAAACTGACTTTGAGTCTACTGTTGTGTCTGCCCTAGTCACTGAGCTAGTAGACTTTGCTACTAGGAGTCGTCTCAACTACGTCGCGAGCCTTGTTACTGAGTCTGAGTATGTCTGTCCTCCGTCCGTCGGGGGTGAGCCTGCCCTTGGCTATGACGTCCTTGAGGACAGGCAGTTTGAGCTTGAGTGTCTTGCGGCCACTTTACATCATTTCGCATACATGGTGCTTTGCCCTGAGGGAGACCCGGATGCACTTGACATCCCTACCCCGCGCTCTTACGCTGAGGCGATCGCGGGTGAGTACTCCTCTCAGTGGCAGACAGCCATGGATGCAGAGATGGTTTTCTGGAAGTCCACAGGCGCCTACATCGACGAGTTTCCTTCTCCTGGGGCGAACATGGTCGATGGCATGTGGATTTTCCGAGTGAAGCGGCCGCCGGGTTTTCCGCCTGCCTTCAATGTATGTTACGTTGCTCGAGGCTTCAGTCAGCGACAAGGGGTCGACTTTTTCCAGACCTTCTCCCCCACCCCGAAGATGACTACTCTTCGGGTGCTGCTACACGTTGCAACACAGCGTGACTACGAGCTGCACTCCCTCGACTTCTCCACAGCTTTCTTGCAGGGCAACCTTCACGAGGAGATCTGGTTGCGCCGCCCACCTGGCTTCACTGGGTCGTTTCCTGCGGGTATCCAGTAAAGCCTCTGGCGGCCAGTCTACGGTCTCCGCCAGGCGCCCCTCGAGTGCCACGACACACTGAGGACGACGCTTGCGGCTCTTGGGTTTGCTCCTTCCTCTGCTGGCCCGTCGCTGTTTCTACGCACCGACACTTCTCTGCCGCCGTTCTACGTTCTCGTGTACGTCGACGACTTGGTCTTTGCTACTGCTGACACTGAGGCACTAGCCCTAGTGAAGGCGGAGCTGCAGTAGAGACACACATGCACTGACTTGGGTGAGCTGCGGAGCTATTTTGGCTTGCAGATCACCCGGGACAGAGCACGACGTGCCATCACCCTGACTCAGTCACACATGGTGCACCAGGTCCTTCAGCGCTTCGGCTTCCAGTACTCCTTGCCACAGCTCACTCCTCTGCCTACAGGCTCTCATCTCCACCTTCGGACGAGTTCGTAGAGCCGAGTGGTCCGTATCCAGAGCTTGTGGGTTGCATCATGTACCTGATGATGTGCACACGACCTGACCTCGCGTACCCTCTCAGCCTCATGGCTGGCTACGTTGCTCCCGGTCGACACCGAAAGGTGCACTAGGATGCTGCAAAGAGGGTACTGCGTTACTTGTGCAATACATCGGGCATGGGGCTCGTGCTTGGAGGACGGGGTTCAGTGGAACTCACAGTCACTCCGACGCTTCTTGGGCCGATGACCAGGCGACTCAGCGTTCGTCACAGAGTTACGCCTTCGGTCTTGGCTCTGGTTTTGTATTGTGGAGGTCCACACGTTCTTCTTCTGTGCTTGGTTCTAGCTGTGAGTCCGAGATCTACGTTGGGGCTATAGTTGCACAGGAGCTACGCTGGCTGACCTTCCTGCTGACCGACTTGGGGGAGCGGCCTCGTTCTCCTCCTGTTCTGTACGTCGACAACAAGGCCATGCTTGCCTTCTGTCACGAGCAGAGACTGGAGCACAGAACGAAGCACATTGGTCTTCGCTACTTTCTTGCTCGAGAGCTGCAGCAGCGTGGTCAGCTTCGCCTTTCCTACAAGGCCTCTCGGGCCAACACTACTGATGTCTTCACCAAGGCCCTCGAGTCTGGTGATTATCAGCGCTTTTGCACTGCTCTTGGGCTTCTGCCCATGTTGCCCCACCTGCTAGTTGCTTGACATTTTCTTGTACTGTGATATATATATATATATATATATATATATGTATACCTACATACTTGCTCTTGCTAGGTTGTGATCACTGTACTGCTTGTGCTTTTATAACTCTGCATGTGAACTGGCCTTGTGGCCGCTTGCTTGTGCTCAGAATGCGTGGTGATTTTGAGATCCACCCTGGGCTTTGCATTGCTTTGTTCTCTTGCCTGGCTGGTCTTGTGACCGTTTGTTGTGTTGGCTATCCCTCACTTTGCCAAAGGGGGGTGTGTCAAAACATATTTATATGTTCTTAGTTCTGCTAGGCTACACTGAGGTGCTCAGTATAGAGCACAACCCCAGTTAGGGTTTACTACTTGTATCTCAATCTTGCATAGTTCATCCACTCCTGCACATTATTCTGACAGCTTCGACTCTTCTGAATCCTCGACTTCGCACTCGGTAGAGTCGGCTCTTGTAGCGTACAGGAATGCCTTCTCATAGAAGTCCATATCTCAACAGAAACGTTGTGTCTGCTCAATCGTGCAGGTTGCTGCTGCTGTGTCTAGGTCCCTAGGTGTTTTCTTCCTGTAGGCTAAATCCTCTCTTCTCCTCTTTCATCAGCCTAGGCGAGTGGACCAGCGTGGTGGCGCAAACGAATGGTAAGGTGGCAAAATCCAGGGGTGGTAATGAGATGAATTCTCGCAAGATGCGATGCACAAGTGCACTATTGCTGTTCGCAGTTTGTAGGGTGATGATGCAAGGTCAGAAATTTTAGTTTCTTACCATATACTATTGGTGCAGGTACAATGTACGTTGTTCAGCAACTAAAAACGCGTTTTCCGAACTGGAAAAGGAGCCGTTGGCGAAGCCACCACAAGCACGGCCTTGTCGCGCTCACTCGCGAAGACCTATGGGATTATCGCCGCCTTCACGAAATGCCATTGGCTCGCAATTCTCAAAGCTCCCGCCCACCCTTCTCCAAGCCAAACGCTTTTCCCTCCACTTCAACTCCAGCCATTTCTTTCTTACCTCACCGCCAAGCTTCTGTTTCATTTGTGTTTACTGAGCTGGCACTCACGCAATCCAGTGTGTCGCAGCGCAAGCAATTCTTCATCTTGGCTTGAGAGGTTTTTTTCCGAGCGTGCTTGTCGTAAGGTGTTAGCCGGCTGTTTTTCCCTTCAAAAAGAGCATTGATCGCGGTGTTGTTGTTCTGAGGCGATCGCGCAGCGTGTTGGCGATGGGGCTGGATCTGGACGCGTGGATAGAGAAGGTGAAGCGGTGCGAGTACCTCATGGAGGACGAGCTCAAGCAGCTCTGCGAATACGTAAGCTCGGCAAATCGCTGTTTGCTCCAGAAGATGTTTCGTTTAGGGTGTTGCGACCATTGCCTCTTTCGTTTCCTGATTTTCATCCCTAAGCCTGTCGTTCCGGCTTTGACATTAATCGTCGGTTCACTCAACCGACGTCAGCAGAACCTCTCCTTCTGAGGAAGCATATTCGCGTTAATATTCCCAGGTTGCGTTTGCTTCTATGAAAGTTGGTTTTTCGCATCTTCAGATAGCTCCGGCGTGCACACGCTGCACGTGATTGCCTGTGTTTTTTTTGTCGGAAGCGGGGTCGCACGGCGACGCCAGGCGTCAATCGCGCATACAGTGTTTAATTCACGTCGTGCACGTGAAGAAGATTCCCGTCGCAGTCGACCACTCGCTACCCCTCGCTCTCCCTCTCTTTTGCAGTCCCCTTGTCTCGTGTCGGTCTCCCACTCGCCCCTGCGCAGGGCGGACATGCGTCAGCCGATTGTGCAGCCCGCGGCACCTCATCAACGCGTCTCCCGCTCACCCCACCGCACCGCGTCCCTCTGTTGTGCTCCGCCCCGTTTCGCCGTGCGGTCCGCGGCGGCGCATGGGTGGCAGGTGAAGGAGATTCTGGTGGAGGAGTCGAACGTGCAGGCGGTGAACAGCCCCGTGACGGTGTGCGGCGACATCGACAGCCAGTTCCACGACCTCATGAAGCTCTTCGACACCGGCGGCCCCGTGCCCTCCACCAACTACATCTTATGGTGCGTGACGGCTTCATCCTTCTTCCCCACTGCCCTGCTCCCCACTGCCCTGCTCCCCACTGCCCTGCTCCCCACTGCCGTCTTCCCCACTGCCGGCTTCCCCACTGCCGTCTTCCCCACTGCCGGCTTCCCCACTGCCGTCTTCCCCACTTCCCTTGGGTCTTCCATTATCAATTCATTGTCTGCTCTGCCCGTGCACCCCCCCTCGCTGTCGTGGCACGTGGTGATGGGCGGGGCAGGGCGACTTCGTGGATCGCGGGTACAACAGCCTCGAGGTCTTCACCGTCCTCATGCTGCTCAAGGCCAGGTGCGAGCAACGCCCGCCAGGTGCGCTCAACGCCAGGTGCGCTCAACGCCAGGTGCGCTCAACGCCAGGTGCGCTCAACGCCAGGTGCGCTCAACGCCAGGTGCGCTCAACGCCAGGTGCGCTCAACGCCAGGTGCGCTCAACGCCAGGTGCGCTCAACGCCAGGTGCGCTCAACGCCAGGTGCGCTCAACGCAAGGTGCGCTCAACGCCAGGTGCGCTCAACGCCAGGTGCGCTCAACGCCAGGTTTGGTGAGAGCAGGTGTGGTGAGGGCGAGGTGGTGCGAGGTTGAAGAAAGCGGCGGGTGGTAGAGCAGGTTGGATGAATGGGAGATGAAAGAAGAGGTCGGATGAATGGGAGATGAAAGAAGAGGTCGGATGAATGGGAGATGAAAGAAGAGGTCGGATGAATGGGAGATGAAAGAAGAGGTCGGATGAATGGGAGATGAAAGAAGAGGTCGGATGAATGGGAGATGAAAGAAGAGGTCGGATGAATGGGAGATGAAAGAAGAGGTCGGATGAATGGGAGATGAAAGAAGAGGTCGGATGAATGGGAGATGAAAGAAGAGGTCGGATGAATGGGAGATGAAAGAAGAGGTCGGATGAATGGGAGATGAAAGAAGAGGTCGGATGAATGGGAGATGAAAGAAGAGGTCGGATGAATGGGAGATGAAAGAAGAGGTCGGATGAATGGGAGATGAAAGAAAGAGGTTGGACGGAGGGCACGGTGGGGTGAAGGTGCAGTGCAGGTGATTGGGCGGGTGCTTCAGAGGGGCGGAACGGAAAGCAGGGTGGGTTTCATGCGTAGCAGGGATGGTAACTGTTAGTATGAGTCTCAGCTGTGGATGTGCTCTGTGTGGGCTTCTGTTGCTGTCTTGTGTGATGCTGTCTTCCGATTTGGTTTTATTCTCCTTTGATTCATACACCCTAAGTTCCTTCTCATGCTGTACTTGTACAGGTGCCTCTCTCTTTCACACACATGCCCACTTGTTGTGTGCCCATGTGCCCGTGTGCCACCACAGGTACCCAGCGCACATGACGCTGTTACGAGGCAACCATGAGAGTCGCCAAATCACACAGGTGCTTGCCCTCTCTGTCCCCATTCTCTCTCCTTCCACTATTTCACTTTGCACGCCCCTTCACCCTTCACTTTCCTCCTGATAAGAAGAGGAATGAGGAAGCACCGCGTGCTTGGTCGTATCACGTTCTTATTTACCACTCCTTGCTCCTTGTGGCACAACTGTGTTCCCCATCATTTCCTTTATTCTCACGTCCACTCGCAGTCTGACTCACACCTTTAGTTTTACTCACACCGCTAATCTCCATGCCTCACCTCACCATCCGGAGGCACCATTGCCCTCTGTGCACCGCATGTGTGCGCCGCGCCCCACCCCAGCCCACTGCATTCCACCCCACGGCACCCCACCCCACCAGGTGTACGGGTTCTACGACGAGTGCCAGCGCAAGTACGGCAACGCCAATGCGTGGCGCTACTGCACGGACGTCTTTGACTTCCTCGGCATCTCCGCCATCATCGACGGCCGCGTGCGCCCCCTGCCCTCCTGCCCCTTGTGCTGCCCTCCTGCCCCTTGTGCTGCCCTCCTGCCCCTTGTGCTGCCCTCCTGCCCGTTGTGCTGCCCTCCTGCCCCTTGTGCTGCCCTCCTGCCCCTTGTGCTGCCCTCCTGCCCCTTGTGCTGCCCTCCTGCCCCTTGTGCTGCCCTCCTGCCCCTTGTGCTGCCCTCCTGCCCCTTGTGCTGCCCTCCTGCCCCTTGTGCTGCCCTCCTGCCCCTTGTGCTGCCCTCCTGCCCCTTGTGCTGCCCTCCTGCCCCTTGTGCTGCCCTCCTGCCCCTTGTGCTGCCCTCCTGCCCCTTGTGCTGCCCTCCTGCCCCTTGTGCTGCCCGCCATAATGTGCTCCCTCCATGCTCTCTCCCACGCTCTTGCCCTTCTGTGCCCCGCAATGCTGTGCGATCACTGTTTCTCTCACGAGCGTCCCTGCCTTTTCCGGTCTCTTTTCCATCCTTCCGCCAGGTGCTGTGTGTGCACGGGGGCCTCTCACCTGACGTCCGAACACTGGATCAGGTGCTGCACTTCTCTCCTTCTCCCACTCCCTCTCGCCCTTCTGCTGCCTGCCTCGTTCCACCTCTACAGTCCAAGTCTCGTTTCTCTCTGTGTCTTCTCCTCTCATTGTTGCCGCACCTCACAAGCACTTGTCTGCACCTTTCCTCAACAGTCGATTCGTCGAGTCAAGTTGCGGATCCATCGACCACGAATTGTAAAAAAAAAAGAGAGCATATGGGGAATGTAATGTCAGACCTGACCAATTGTAATTCGGAAGTGCCTTTGATTCTAGTAGCCAGCTCAGGTGTGTACCCATGTGTACCTGCGTGTAATCTGTGTGTACCTGCGTGTACCTGTGTGTACCTGTGTGTACCTGCGTGCACCTGTGTGTACCTGTGTGTACCTGTGTGTATCTGTTATGCCCAGATTCGGGTGGTGGAGCGGCAGTGCGAAATTCCACATGAGGGTCCTTTCTGCGGTAATAACACCCTATCTTCCTATACTGGCCAGTAGCATCTTACTACTGGATTAGGCAGTAGCATCTTTCTCCGTGATGCTCTGATCGCACAAGCGCACCACTCTTTTATCGTCCCTCACCTGTTCTCTCTCTGCCTCTCCCCCAACCACACCCTGTGCACACCTCATGTGGAGTGATCCAGAGGACATCGAGACGTGGGCTGTCAGCCCGCGCGGAGCGGGATGGCTCTTCGGAGCCAGAGTCACCACCGAGGTGCCTTCCTCTTCCCGCATCTCCTCTCCCCGCATCTCCTCTTCCCGCATCTCCTCTCCCCGCATCTCCTCTCCCCGCATCTCCTCTTCCCACATCTCCTCTCCCCGCATCTCCTCTTCCCGCATCTCCTCTCCCCGCATCTCCTCTCCCCGCATCTCCTCTTCCCTCGCATCGTGTCCATTCTTGCGAGGGCCACCTCCCTCTCCCTCCTTGTCTGACCTTTCCCGAATTCCCTGGCTGCAGCCCGGCACTTCAACACGTCTTCTCTCATCTTTCCCCCTCTGTTGTTGCTGCCATCATTGTTTTCCCCTCTCTCGTCGTGCTGCCCTCTCTGCCTTCGTACCGATTCTGCCTGTACTACCCTCCGTGGCTGTGCTGCGCGGCCACAGTTCAATCAGATCAACGGGTTGGAGCTGGTGTGTAGAGCGCACCAGCTGGTGCAGGAGGGGCTCAAGTACATGTTCCCCGACAGAATCCTCGTCACCGTAATGCATACTCCTCTCACCTTGCCCTTCACCCTGCCGCCTGTGATTCCGTGATGCCGCCTCTCAAGGAGAGCCCCTGCAGCCATGCCATTTCTGCCTTGAAATTGTTTTGGTCCTCGTACTCTCGGCTTGGCTTATATCACTCACTCGGGTGTGTTTCCGTGTGTCTGCCTGTGTGTGTCTCATGTGTTGCATGGGAATGTGTGCCATGCGCGTGCATCGATGCGTGCATGGGCCACCAGGTGTGGTCAGCACCCAACTACTGCTATCGCTGTGGCAACGTGGCGTCCATCCTCAGCTTTGATGAGCACATGGTCAGTGCGTGCGTCAGTGCATGCGTCAGTGCATGGCGCGTGGTTAGTGGGGCACATGGTGAGGGGGGCACATGGTGAGGGGGTCATGTCATCATGGCTCTGCGCCTTCCTGCCCGCCGCTGAGTGGTCCACGTGTGTCACCAAAGCACTGTCTCCACTACTCATGGGAGGGAGCTCTTGGATCTCTCCACCTCGTGCCCGTGCATCCTTGGAGCCTAGCCTCTCTTTCCATGTCCCTAATGCCTTTTATCACCTCCCCCTTGCCCCGTTCCCTTTCCACATTTCCCCCTCCACCTTGGTCCACGCCTCCCATGGCTGGTGATCCCCTGCCCCCCTGTGTGTGCGGGCATGCCCCATCACGCCCATGGCTCGGCACGGGGCACCAGGAGCGAGATGTGAAGTTCTTCACGGAGACGGGGGAGAACAACACCATGATGGCACCGCGCGCTGCCGTGCCCTACTTCCTCTGACCCATCCACTGCTCTCCCCCTCAGTCAGTAGCCCCGTCTCCCCCTCAGTCAGTAGCCCCGTCTCCCCCTCAGTCAGTAGCCCCGTCTCCCCCTCAGTCAGTAGCCCCGTCTCCCCCTCAGTCAGTAGCCCCGTCTCCCCCTCAGTCAGTAGCCCCGTCTCCCGACTCCCATCACTCCTCCTATTTAGCCAGCCGCTCTTCCCCATCGTCCGCATGCGCACCGCATGGGCGGATGCCCACCACCACCAACCAACTCCGCATTGGCCTCATGCACTACTGTCGCTCACATCATCCCGCCCCTTGTCCTTGCTACCCAACATGCATGACTCGGCATGTTTGCCTGCCCCTTGGCGTCATGATGACCTGATTAAACCCATCCTCGCTTGTCTCTTACTGTGTTGCTCCGTGTGTGCACAGCTTACTCTGTGCTTGCAGCAGCTGCTGCAAATGATGTGGTCTTAGCTTTAACGGGGTGTATGTTTTAACGCACCCTGTATTGGTGCAGTAGTGGTTAGTTGATTACCGGTAGGTTCTTTTGCTGCCCTCTGTGTTCAGTCACACTTGCTGGTTCTTGTTCTGTACTGTAGGCCTTTTCTTGACAAGCTGCCACAACTGGTGCAGTGGTAAAAACAGCTCTCTGCAAACCGGTACTAGCTGACGAGGGTGGCATTCTCAAACAGCACCCCAAGTAATGTTTGCCTGAAGAGACAGATTGTGTGATAATATGAGGGAGTCCTGTCAGAGATGTTATAACAAGTGTTGCTCGACAGGAGAGAGCCCTCCACCCAACCCATTGGCTGTGGTCCACAACCACCACGACCACCACCAAGGAACATTCCCCGAAGCATGAAATTACTGCTTGGCGTAGAAATACATAGAACACCCAACTGGTAGGCCATCATCAACAGAATTGAGTCTGCTAACAACAGCTCTGATGCCAACCTTACTAACTTCCTCACAAATCCATGCCTCATGTTACGGTACATGCCCAACGCTAAGCTGCATTCTGCACATGCTGTTGTAGCAGTACTGATTCTGATTCCTCCTCTCTAGCTTGGACGAACCACTCCCTGTACCGTTGAAACACACCCAACCCGATGGCTTGCCGAACAACTTGAAAGAACTCAAGCATGTGATGGTGGTTGTGGCTGGAAGGGAGTTGCGTTGGGGTAAGAGGAAGCAACAGAACAAGGGCGCAGGTGGCAGAGCGCAGAGCAGAGCAGCATGCACTGAGAGAGCGTACCGTGAGGACAAAAATGACCGGCCTGTGCATGAGGCGTGCATGGGGTCAGCCCTGCAGAACCACTACAGGCAGGCATGAGAGCAAGCCGCAGTGGCAGCAGGGCGAACTTGTTGAGTGTGCGTGGCGCAATCAGAAGCAGGAGAGCACAAGTTGGTGGGAACAGCGACGTCCAGCGGGCCATTGAGCATGCGACGGGTGACACACTCCTCCATTCATGAGCACTCCACGCAGCGCTACTTCACTTCCACGTGCCACACCCCCCCCTTGCACACCCCACGCGCCTCACCCCACGCGCCTCACCCCACGCGGCTCACCCCTCGCGCCTCACCCCACGCGGCTCACCCCTCGCGGCTCACCCCTCGCGGCTCACCCCTCGCTTTGCGACAGTGCAGCAAAGAGAACCACCAGCATCAGCAGCACAGCCACTCACATGTCCAGCAGCACAGCCACTCACATGTCCAGCAGCACAGCCACTCACATGTCCAGCAGCACAGCCACTCACATGTCCAGCAGCACAGCCACTCACATGTCCAGCAGCACAGCCACTCACATGTCCAGCAGCACAGCCACTCACATGTCCAGCAGCACAGCCACTCACATGTCCAGCAGCACAGCCACTCACATGTCCAGCAGCACAGCCACTCACATGTCCAGCAGCACAGCCACTCACATGTCCAGCAGCACGAGGGCGAGCATCTCATGTGCGTCCAGCAGGTGGTGCAGGTAGGCGCGCGTGTGGCGGGTGCATGTGTAGCACGCGCATGTGCGCGATATGGGGATGAAACTGCGCCTGGTAGCGCCCACAGACGGGGTTGCGGATGGAGGGGGGACACGTAGTGAAGAAGAGTGATAGGGAGCGGGTGGAAGAAGCCGACAAGTGAGGGCGGGAAGACTGCGTGTAAGTCATAGTGTGAGGACGCAAGGCAGGTTTAGCATGGTGGAGCAAGCACAGCATGGTCCTGGCACAGCATGGTCCTGGCACAGCATGGTCCTGGCAAAGCTACCCAGGCGGGACAGTAGTGTGATAATGGCACTCACTTGTGTGATGAGCACCGCAGGTTCATCTTTGACCCGTACACCTCCTTCTCTTTCCCCACTTCACTTAAAACCCCATCCGCCTCCACTGCCCCCCCATCCCTCTCCTCTTTCGTCCCCCCCTGCCCTTTCCCCTCTCCTGGCGCCACGGTGTGCGGCCACCAGGGCGGGTGGAGGGGCAGCGTGGAGGCGAGGCCGAGGAGGGTGAGGTCGTGGGGGTACCTGCACGGGGGGGACACGGGCGAGGTTTGTCAGATGCCATGGCACGGATAGTGCATGGCACAGGGCACGTCATGGCACGGATGGTGCATGGCACAGGGCACGGCATGGCACATGCAGAAACGGACATGCATGCAAGGTTTGAAGAGGGTGCATGCAAGGGGGGGGTGCATGCATGCGGGAGGGGTGGCACTGACGTGCAGTCAAAGAGGTCAACGCCCCTGGCCACCGCGTGCAGCACCTCCTCTGCTCGCCGCCACGCCATGGGGGGAAGGGGAGGGGCGACACACGGTGGAGAGGGGCAGGTGGAGTGCAGGAGGTGAGTGTCCCGTGTGGGGCAAGGCACGGCGCACATGGCATGGCAGGCATGGACGAGGTGCGGAGCACAGCAGAGGAGCAGAGGATTTCGAGAGCATTCGAGATGGAGCACCATTTGTCCTTCCTCCCTTCTCCCTTGCAGTCTTGACTCTACCTCGCGTGCTCACCTTACCTTAGTGGTTGAATGTACCTGGTGTGTTGAATGTACCTGGTGTGTTGAATGTACCTGGTGTGTTGAATGTACCTGGTGTGTTGAATGTACCTGGTGTGTTGAATGTACCTGGTGTGTTGAATGTACCTGGTGTGTTGAATGTACCTGGTGTGTTGAATGTACCTGGTGTGTTGAATGTACCTGGTGTGTTGAATGTACCTGGTGTGTTGAATGTACCTGGTGTGTTGAATGTACCTGGTGTGTTGAATGTACCTGGTATGTTGAGCCCTGACGTGTGCCTCATTGCCTCCGGTGGAAGCTCCGACTGCCGGGGGGTGAGAGCGCGCACACGCACAACGGGGGGAGGGAGGGTGACCGTGGAGTGGACGCACTTGGGGGAGGAAGTGGTGGGATGGACGGAGCAGAGAGGGGGGGACAACGGGAAAAATGGATGGATGGATGGATGGATGGATGGATGGATGGATGGATGGATGGATGGATGGATGGATGGATGGATGGATGGATGGATGGATGGATGGATGGATGGATGGATGGATGGATGGATGGATGGATGGATGGATGGATGGATGGATGGATGGATGGATGGATGGATGGATGGATGGATGGATGGATGGATGGATGGATGGATGGATGGATGAATGGATGGATGGATGGATGAATGGAGATCAATAAGGAGAAAAGGTAATTAATTAAGTTCCATGGGGTGAAGAGAAAGCAGGTATTAAGGGATTGAATAAATCGATGGAAGGAAGGAGGGACCGAGGGACAGAAGGGGGGGAGGAGGGGAGAGGAGGGGAGAGGAGGGAAGAGGGGGGGAGAGGAGAGAAGGGCATGAGGAGCACACTGACAAGAGCAGCGGTGAGCAGAGCATCCCTGTGCGACACTGCCTCCCCCAGTCCCAACCCTGCCACGTGGTACCCTGCAGGGCGCGGCAGGCACGACAGGCATGGCAGGCACGGTAGGCACGGCAGGCATGGCAAACATGCAGAGCAGAGCAGGGAAGGTGAGAGTGACAGCAACAGGGGATCGAGGGGCAAGATGCATGAGGGGAGCGAGGGCCAAGATGCATGAGGGGAGCGAGGGCCAAGATGCATGAGGGGAGCGAGGGGCAAGATGCATGAGGGGATCGACATGGGTTGAGTGGGAAGGGAGTGAGAGGCAGGCGTCATGTGCGAGCAAGCAGCGGACGGAAATGTGGAAATGCATGGCCTTCTCCCCGCTTGCACTTACTCCCCACCCAACCCCCCACCCCTCTCACCCAACCCAACCTGCCAGCCCTCTCACCCCACCTGTCCCCCTCCTCCCCCGTCACCTGCCAGGCCTGTGCGCGCTGCAGTCTCGCGGGCCGACCGCCTCCTCTCCTCCTCAAACGGGCCCCCCACCACCGCTCCTAGCAGCGCCTGCACACCACACCGCACAGCACCGCACCGCACCACAGAAAACGGGGCTGGCAGTGGTGTGATACAGCAGTGCAATGGGGATGCAGTGGCACAGTGTGGCACCCATGCGCTGTGCTGCTCGCATCGCAGTCAAACTCACTGTCCTCGTCCCCCCTCGTTCTTCAGCCAATCGCAGCTCCTCATCCAGCCACGTCAGCGACCGCTGCACAGCCACTCGGTGACGATTAAGCGATGACGTGGCGGGCGGCGCATCATGCAATGGGATGGCGACATGTGGCAGCAGAGACGCCACGATGGCACTGTGGTCTTCTGGAGTGACCTGCGTGTGTGAGGAGGGCAGCACAGGGTGAGGAGTGTGGCTGTGATGTGATGTGGGGCGCCGCTGCTGATGCGTGCAGCCCACGCACGGTGAATGCAGGTGTGGCTCTTGAGAGGTCACACACCACATGCAACATGGCGGATGCAACATGGCGGATGCATGATGTCACGTAGGATCGGAGGTGGCGCATGCAAGGGTGAGGTGGGTGGTGGTGATGGCACATCACCAGCGCCATGGAGTGGAGACAAGCACGCGCAGCCCCAACAATGCCCCCGCCTCACCTCCCACTGCCCTCCCACCTGCCTGCCCTCCCATCCACCGCCGCCCCACCTGCCCGCCCTCCCATCCACCGCCGCCCCACCTGCCCGCCCTCCCATCCACCGCCGCCCCACCTGCCGGCGGCCGCTGGGCGTGTCGAACCACGTGGCAGGCCGTGCCGAGGCCTTGCCGCCCTGCTGGCCGCCCGGGAAGAGCAGCGAGTCGCGTGGCGAGGCGAGCAGCAGCGTGGCGGGCGGCAGCGCGAGGAAGCCGTGCAGCCCCGCCGCTGATGTGGCTCGCGCTTGGCTGTGGGCGGCAACGGTCTGGTGGGCGGGGCTGCCGAGACTGGACGGGCAGGGGGAAAGGGAGGGGGAGGGTGAAGAATGAGGGACTGGAGCACGTAGTGACTTCAAGTCATCACTGCACGGCGCCACGCCACAGGCTGGCTGTGGTGGGCGCATCCAGTCAGGTACGGTGGGCTCACAAGTGGGTGGAGCACGCGGTCCATCCAGCGAACCCCAGCGTCTGCGCCACGTCCGGCGTCAGATGCACCGGCAGCCCCCGCCGCGTGTACGCTAGCAGACCGGGCGTCGCCACTTCGAACCATTCACTACCGCTCTGCGCTCCCTTCCCCTCCTCAGCGCTCTGCATGCCTGCCTTCTCATCCCCGCCTCTCCCCGCCTCGCCAACGCGCGTCGCGCGGATGCATCCAACGCGGGCTTCGCCGTCCGTCGCGCGAATCTCAAACTCCAATCGCCGTTGCTCCCCGCTCGTAGCTGCGTGCCTGGTAACCACACTGTCTTCCAGTCTGGTAACCGCGCTCTCGTCTTGCCGTGCCTGCTGCTCGCTTCGAGGCGCCGCCTCCGCCATTACACTCCGACGAGCGGAAAAACCGCCCAGCGCGGGACGATGGAGGCGGGGGGCAGCAATGTCGAGCGGGCAGCGCGTGACGCGCGCCGACAGCGAGTGGCGAGACGCCGAGAGAATCGGCGCGCAGTGCAGCCAGCGAGGGGGGAGCGTCGCGCGCAGCATGGGCGGAGAGGTGGGTGGAGAGGGCGAGCGGAGGGACGCGATCACGCGCGTGGCTTGCACGTGATACGTTGAGGCGGCGACAAGCGCCTTGCCATCTGCCTCGATTTTGGCGATTGATCCTGCCGTAGTGTCGGCTTTTGACGGCTTTTAAAAAGGTTATAAAAGTCTTTGCAGGTTTCCAGTGCGATAGCAGATCGATTTTGCACGATCGATTGCCCTTGATGCGAGTGTCTGTGCCCTCAGTATGATCCGCTTGCGTCAATAGTGGCGTTCTGGGTGTTTGTGATATCTACACTTCATTGGTCTTGTTTGAAAAGAGACTAAAGGTTCAGGGTACGGTACCGTCATACCCCGGATATACCCCCATGGGGGGCAATAATACAACAGGTTTTTTTTGGGGGGTGGGCTTATAATCGAGTAAATTTATAAGCGCCGGCGTTTATAAAATGACATATATGTTTTTTATATTTTTTAACACCAAACTGTAGATCTCGTGCTTGCCTTTTCAATCGAGTCGAAGTTACATGGGGTCGTCTGTGAAATTCTCGCGAGCGCAGGGAGATACACCCAATCTGACTCACATCCAGCTCCTGACAGCTCCTGCTGACTGGACCCGCATCCAGTGCAGGGTCCGAATGTGAAGGGAACCGAATCTGCAACACATCCGCCTGCTAAAGTAAAAATCGTTACAGCGTTTTGAACACATTTCAAAATTTAAAGTTTACCTGCGCTTATAATAAAACAAGTTTTTTCAGGGGGTGCGCTTATAATCGAGCAGGGGATATAAGCGCCACACGCCAATTAAAAGCGCCAGGCGCTTATCCGAGGGTGGCGCTTATATCCGGGGTATGACGGTAATCCATGGACAATTTCAAATCCCAGCTTCCGTTCTCAAGTCCCAGTCTTGAAGAGCAGCATTCACGACGATCTGAGGCTCTCCTGCGGGGCCCATGTGGCTTGCGGTGTATGCTGGTGAGGGGTTGTTCGCTATGTATGTAGCTGGCATACCATATAACCACTTGGTGATTACCATATCCTTCCACACCATGTTCTATAAGAGCTCAAGTGCTTAGACGGCCTCAATCCACAAGCGGGCTTGCGTGGTGGGGCTAATTGGGCAATGATCATGGGAGCGCCACGTTGTGCGCATGAGCACATACAATATGATCGGCCAGGCACGACGACCCCAGTAGCGAGCAGCGAGCGGTCCTTGCGAATGGCAGCGGGCAGGTGCAGGTCAAAGAGGTCGCAGCGGATGGGCATCTCCACCTGGTGCCAAGGCATGAGGAGATGCAGCAAGGTTGGGATGGGCGTGAATGGAAGGACACGGTGTGAAAATGGCCTGCACATAGTGGGTGGGATGCATAGCATGATGTGTGGGATGCATGGCATAGTGGGTGGGATGCATGGCATGGTGGGTGGGATGCATGGCATGGTGGGTGGGATGCATGGCATGGTGGGTGGGTGGGATGCATGGCATGGTGGGTGGGATCCATGGCATGGTGGGTGGGATGCATGGCATGGTGGGTGGGATGCATGGCATGGTGGGTGGGATGCATGGCGTGGCCGAGAAAAGAGGGATGTGGGAAGGGAAGAGAGGGGGCAGGGGAGGAATGGGATGAATGTGGCAGAAGGCAATGGAGAGTGGAGGCAGTTGAGAGGTGGTGCTGCTGAGCAAAACGAGTCAATCTCATGTGCCTGCTCAAAGCCGGTTACCTGCACTTCACTGGTTTGGTGGAATGGAAGGGGAAGAAATGGCGAGGGCGCACCTGTGAGTGTCTAAAGCAGTGCAGGTCGAAGGTGCCCGCCTCCAGCATCTCAATGCCACCGCCGTTGGGAATGGGCGACAGCTGTTCATGGGGGGCCATGGCAAGATGGGGCGGACGTACTGGTAGTTCAGATCAATGAACTACCATGCTATCGCACATGTAGTTCAGATCAATGAACTACCATGCTATCGCACATGTAGTTCAGATCGATGAACTACCATGCTATCGCACATGTGGTTCAGATCGATGAACTACCATGCTATCGCACATGTGGTTCAGATCGATGAACTACCATGCTATCGCACATGTGGTTCAGATCGATGAACTACCATGCTATCGCACATGTGGTTCAGATCGATCAACTACCATGCTATCGCACATGTGGTTCAGATCAGATCGATCAACTACCATGCTATCGCACATGTGGTTCAGATCGATCAACTACCATGCTATCGCACATGTAGTTCAGACCGATCAACTACCATGCTATCGCACATGTGGTTCAGATCGATCAACTACCATGCTATCGCACATGTAGTTCAGATCAATCAACTACCATGCTATCGCACATGTAGTGTGTAATGAGTACAGACCAGAGCCTGGCTCCCTGTGAAAAGTGGCCAGTGGCGCCCCAGTGGCACCGTCTGTGCAGGAGGCAACAGGCTCGTCCAAAGGGAAAGTGGTGACAACTCCGAGATCGTGGAGGTGACCGACACCAACCAAGTTCCTAGAGAACGAGGGGGTGTAGTAACCTGTGAAAAACCTAGAGGGAGCCGTCGGACACGGGGGAGTGGTGGTGCTGTGGGCAACTATAGGTCCCATGGAGGGGTCGGCCAAGGCGACAGTGACTGGAGCGTGCAGTGGCGTGAGGTCGGTGCTGTTGCGAAAGAAACAGCTGGACGCTCCAGAGTCTAGGGTGAAGGAAAGCTGTGCAATCGATGAGGTCGCACCCGAGCCAGCGACTAAGGATGGTACTAGACTAGTGGTGGCTGCAGCTCCTACACTAAGAACCTCTGAGGCGCCTGGACCGGAAATTAAATACGCACCAAGACTAGAAGCACAAGTCTCAATAGCAGCCGCAGCTCCCACGTACCGGTGTGTGTACTGGCCGGGTCCGACAGGGCCCCGCAGTGGAGGCTGCCGCAGGCGCTGCAGCTGAACCCGCCACTGCTGCTGCTGCTGCGACCACTGGTGCTGCTGCCACTGCTGCTGCTGCGGCCACTGCTGCCGCGGCCACAGCTGCTGCTGCGGCCGCCGGTGCTGCTGCCACTGCTGCTGATGCGGCCACTGCTGCTATTGCCACTGTCGCCACATCGACATGGCATGCTAGTACGCGAGGGGGGTAGGGGGCTGACGAGGCGGAAGTACAAGTGGTAGGACGGCCTAAGCTAGTGCTGGCGCGGCTGAAGGTGCGCGGCCTGTGTGCGCGCGGCTGCGTGCTTGCTGGCCTTACGGGGAGCACGCGGGCAGGAGCTACGGGCGACGGGTGACTGGCGACGGGCGACGGGCGACGGGAGCTAGGGTTAGGGTCGACTGGAAGGGCCCGCGGGGGCCGCACTACGGGACGAACGCAGGTCCCGCGAGGGGGAGGGGGGCGCTACGGGACGGACGAAGGGCCCGCGCGGGGCCGCGCTACAGGACAGACGAAGGGCCCGCAGGGGGCCGCGCTACCGGACGGACGATGGGCCCACGGGGGGCCGCGTTACGGGACGACCTAAGGCCCGCGGGGGCCGCGCTACGGGACGACCTAAGGCCTAAGAGGGGGGGGAAGGGCGCGCTACGGGGCGGACGAAGGACGGCGGGAGGGGGCCGCGCTAAGGGGCGGACGAAGAACCCGCAGGGGCCGCGCTACGGGACGAACTAAGGCCCGTGGAGGGTGGGGGGGGGGGGGGGGGGGGGGGGGGCGCTATGGGACGGACGAAGGGCCACGGGGGGGCGCGCTACGGGACGAACTAAGGCCCGTGGGGGGCCCGCGCTATGGCACGGTCGAAGGGCCACAGGGTGACGGTACATGCCGAGGGCGCTACGGACGGGTGGCGAACGGACGGCTAACGGACGGCGGACGGGTGGCTAACGGGCGGTTAACGGGTGAAACCGTAAACCGAGCGAGCCAACGGGTGGCGAGCGTGCTAGGGCTGCTATCGAGCGACGATCGGACGGAAGCCTTACAACGAGCGAGCAACGAACGGAACGTGCGAAGGTGGGCCCATGGGAACGAATAAGTTCTATACCATGTTAAAGGATAAACGGCAGAATGAATGACTAGAAGGAAGCAGTACAAGGAAACGTATAGCAAACCCTAAAGGGGGTTGTACCCTTTACTGCATAGCTCACTGTAACACCTAGACTAGACTAACAAACTATAAGAAGTATAGTTTGACATACTCGTCGGGATGTTGTTCGGCCGGTTGTTGTTCGGCTGGTCCCTGACCATCCGAGGCCGTCCTATGGGTAAACGACGACCACGAAAGTAGGTCGGCTTCGCACTAAGTCGTCGGCCTCGTTCGGATGTTGTCGACCTCGCTTGTCGTCTTAGAGACCTACCAAGAAGGAACCGAAAGTCGGCTGCCAGAGTGCTGGCCGACCAAAACGCTTTCTAAACCGGTGTCGCTGGTCCTCGACCCTGCACCGCGCGAGGTCGGTCGGCCCCCGAGCTGCGTGAAAATGACTAAGGGAATGAAAGCGAAAGCGTGGCTTCCTAGAGTGAGAGTCCTAGAGCGGGAATAAATGGAATGTGAAGAGGAAGAGTCGAAATGGCAAACAGGGTCCTGTGACGGTGTGTCATAGGAGAGAGCGCACGGTCGCGGTTCGGGAGGACAGGTGTTGGCATGAGATCCCTAGGCTGTCTCCAAACATGCCTGCATGACGAAACAGTGACGCTCAGGACGACGTGGCACGGTGCACGCATGTCCCCGTTGCAGCCGACTTTCCGATCTCCTCGCCCTCAGGGTCGGGATTCCACGTCGGTATGACGCACAACGCGCCACAAGTCGACCCTGATCACATCCCGCGACCCGTTTCCCGCCGATTTGGCGGACGAAGGCTCGCTCGCCGCGTAAACTCCAGCCCGCCGGACGATGTTCGACGCATGTATTGTTCGCTTCCGAATGGGCGACAACTGGCCCTGCGCGCCACAACGTGGGTCGGTTGGGAGTCAAAGTCGGCGTCACGTGCCAGTCCGCGCCGTTGAAAAGCAGGTTGTCGTGACACACTGTCCGCGCCCGGCGGCGTCGACGTGTCGTCCTTGTACGGACATTCTGTTGAGAGGTACTATCAAGGTAACTCTCAACGGGATTGTCGGGTGACGCATGATGACGCTTTCGGCCAGGACGTGCCCCCAGTTTGCCACACGAGGATGAAGCAGGGTGACGCACCAGAAGCCGAGCCGCGTCGTTTTTGAACCAGGATGTAGCCATGGCGTTGAGATATACCATGCTAATCACAGCGGCTGACGAAAAGTCAAGCGAGTAATACGACGCTTTGCGACGTCGCTTGTTTGTTGGCGACGTCGCTTGTTTGTTGGCGACGTCGCATGCTAGAAGAGCCTGCATGTGCGTCACGTGGAGTGCAGAGCTCTCACATTCAGACATTTTCCGAATTTGTGTTCGGCGCTAGATTGGACAGTGTTCGTAGAGTTAAAAATATACAGTTGTTCGAATTTGGGCTCCCAGCCCCAACGTGACACGCCCCTAGGGCGTGTCACCTCGGACGTTCAAAGTGGCTTGTTCGAACAAGCACCGTACTTAACTTAACCGTTTGATTTTTAAACCGTATTATACCAGCGCCAGCTCCCAGAATTTTGGAATTCGAACAGCTGGTTACCACCCGAGGTGACACGCCCTTACCTCGCATATTCTCTAAACAGAAGCATTTACGCAGCCTAGCAAAGCCTCACCTCGCATACACGTTGAACAAGACCGTCGCTAGTCAGTTACGTTTCGCTTCCTTCCACCATGGCAGGTCCGTCGGGTAAACGTAAGTACGAGGGCGAAGAGAAGGAAACCGCCGACGCCGCCGCCACCGTTGGTGCTGCTACTGGTGACGGGTCTAACAGACAGGAACAACCGCAATCGACACCCGAATCAAATCCAGGATCGAATCCGAATACAGGATTAGATTCGGACGGGAAGCCCGCAGATTCAAAGGCTAAGAAATCATCTCCAGTCGAGCCGCAGCCAGCAAAGCAGACCGAGAAGACATGTGTCCATGACGTGGCGCTTCCTCCGAATTTCACGTCTTCTCTCGACCAATCAGTGCACGGGACGATCGACTCGCCGGTTTACAATGGCCCGATGGCGAAAACATACCCGTTTGAGTTGGACCCGTTTCAAGCAACCTCGGTAGCGTGCTTGGAGCGGCGCGAGTCCGTGCTCGTGGCAGCGCACACGTCGGCGGGAAAGACTGCCGTTGCGGAGTATGCAATCGCGATGGCGTTTCGCGACAAGCAGAGGGTCATTTACACGTCCCCTCTCAAGGTAGATCGTTTCTAAGGTTGGTTGGCTCCTAAGTAAACGTAAATCGCCACTGTTTTCTAAAAGAAGAAGGGTGCTTGTGACCTTGTCGCAGTTCTGACATTGGGTTTGATGCTTTTGTTTCCAGGTTTGAGGGTAGAAAGTTGAGGGAGTTTGAGGTTTGAGGTTTTCGGGTTGAGGGTTGAGGGGCTTACGCTGGTAAACAGCTCCGGCCCCGTCTTCCCCTGTCCCATTCCCCTCTTTGTTCTCCCCACCCTTCTCCACCCCAATTCCTTCTCCTCTTTGGAAACCCAGGAACCAAGTCGAACCCCTCTGCCCTCCTCCCCCTCTCCCCACGTACACGTCAGGCTCTGAGCAACCAGAAGCACCGGGAGCTGAGGGAGGAGTTGAGTGACGCGGGGTTGATGACGGGTGGCCCAAATAACCCTCCTATTCAATGTCGTGTGTCGTGTCCCCCCCCCTCCCCCCCCTACTCTCAAACGCACGTCAGGCTCTGAGCAACCAGAAGTACCGCGAGCTGAGTGAGGAGTTCAGCGATGTGGGGCTCATGACGGGTGATGTCACCATCGCCCCCAACGCAGCCTGCATCGTCATGACCACCGAAATTCTCCGATCCATGCTCTACCGAGGCTCGGAAGTGCTTCGGGAGGTGGCTTGGGTGATTTTCGACGAGATTCACTACATGCGGGACCGGGAACGTGGCGTGGTGTGGGAAGAGAGTATTATTTTCCTTCCTCCGGATGTGAAAATGGTGTTTTTGTCGGCTACGCTGTCAAACGCGCGGGAGTTTGTCGAGTGGATTACATATCTGCATAAGCAGCCGTGTCACGTGGTGTATACGGATTACCGGCCGACTCCCTTGCAGCATTTCGCGTTTCCTTATGGCGGGGACGGGCTGTATCTTATGGTGAACGAGCAGGGGAAGTTTATCGAGAAGAATTTCAACCGCTTAGCTAAGAGTTTCGCTAAAGCGAAAGAGGCGGCGGCGGAGGCGATTCCAGAAGCTGCTGGGTTTGCTGGGAGAGGGAGAGGGAGGGGGGGGGGGGAGGGTAGGGAGAGGAGGAAGAGGAGGGAGAGGAGGGGAAGGAGGGAGAGGTGCAGGCGGAGGGCCTTCGGATATCTACAAGATAGTGAAGGTGAGTCTTTCCTCTCTTCTCTTCTCTTCCCACCCCCTTCTCCTTTCTCCCCTTCTCCCACTTATTCTCCTTTGTTTTCCGGACCTGTTCCGAGCCGGACTTCCATCCCATGATCCTCTTAATCTTCCGCTGTTTCTTGCCCTCCACCTCTTTTTCCTCTCCTCTCCACTCCCCTCCTCTCCTCTCCTCTCCTCTCCTCTCCTCTCCTCTCCTCTCCTCTCCCCTCCCCTCCCCTCCTCTCCTCTCCTCTCCTCTCCTCTCCTCTCCCCTCCCCTCCTCTCCTCTCCTCTCCTCTCCTCTCCTCTCCCCTCCCCTCCCCTCCCCTCCCCTCCCCTCCTCTCCTCTCCTCTCCCCTCCCCTCCCCTCCTCTCCTCTCCTCTCCTCTCCTCTCCTCTCCCCTCCCCTCCCCTCCCCTCCCCTCCCCTCCCCTCCTATCCTCTCCTCCTCTCCTCTCCTCTCCTCTCCCCTCCCCTCCACTTCCCTCCCCTCCCCTCCCCTCCCCTCCCCTCCTCTCCCCTCCCCTCCCCTCCTCTCCTCTCCTCTCCTCTCCTCTCCTCTCTTCTCCCCTCCCCTCCCCTCCCCTCCCCTCCCCTCCCCTCCTCTCCTCTCCTCTCCTCTCCTCTCCTCTCCTCTCCTCTCCCCTCCCCTCCTCTCCTCTCCTCTCCTCTCCTCTCCTCTCCTCTCCTCTCTCCTCCCCTCCCCTCCCCTCCCCTCCACTCCCCTCCCCTCCCCTCCCCTCCCCTCCCCTCCTCTCCCCTCCCCTCCCCTCCTCTCCTCTCCTCTCCTCTCCTCTCCTCTCTTCTCCCCTCCCCTCCCCTCCCCTCCCCTCCCCTCCCCTCCCCTCCCCTCCCCTCCTCTCCTCTCCTCTCCTCTCCTCTCCTCTCCTCTCCCCTCCCCTCCTCTCCTCTCCTCTCCTCTCCTCTCCTCTCCTCTCCTCTCCTCTCCCCTCCCCTCCCCTCCCCTCCCCTCCCCTCCCCTCCCCTCCCCTCCCCTCCCCTCCCCTCCCCTCCCCTCCTCTCCTCTCCTCTCCTCTCCTCTCCTCTCCTCTCCTCTCCTCTCCTCTCCTCTCCTCTCCGCACCATCGCTCCCCCTAGCATCCCTTGCCAGGCCTGTTCCGAGCTGATCCTCTTCAGCTTCCCTACCCTCACTCTCTCTCCACCCTTGCCACTCTTGAGCCTGAAACCCTCCCCTCTCTTGCCGTACCTGTTCCGAGCTGGACTTCCATCAATGATTGTGTTCAGCTTCCCTCTTTCCCTCTCCTCACCCTCTCTCTCCTTACCCTCTCACTCTCCCCGCACTCCCATCCCAGACCTGCTCCGAGCTGGACTTCCATCCAATGATCCTCTTCAGCTTCCCTACCCTCACGCTCTCTCCACCCTTTGCACTCTTGAACCTGAAACCCTCCCCTCTCTTGGCAGAACTGCTCTGAGCTGGACTTCCATCCAATGATCATATTCAGCTTCCAGCGCTGCGAGTGTGAGGCGTACGCCATGCAGCTGAGCAAGCTTCTCTACCTCACATCTCCCTCTTCCTCTCCCTCTCCCTCTCCCCACGCTTTCATCCCAGACCTGCTCCGAGCTGGACTTCCATCCAATGATCGTCTTCAGCTTCCGCCGGCGAGAGTGTGAGGCGTACGCCATGCAGCTGAGCAAGCTGGACTTCAACAGCGAGGAGGAGAGCAAGATGGTCAAAGAGGTGAGGAGCGGTGCAAGGAGTTGAGGAGTGGGGTGAGCTAGACATGGGAACGGGTACGGGTCGGGTCGACCCGCGGGTCGCTAACCTGTCTATTCTAGTGACCCGTCCCGTCTATACATGCACGGGTCGATTGTGACCCGTGCCGGGTCGGGTCAGTCAACCCGTACACGGGACGGGTATCAATGACCCGTTTAGGCCTTAGGGTTTTTTTTCCAGCATACATGGTTTTTTTTCTGATGTGTACATGCAAAATATAGTGTTGAAGTGAAGAATATGTTATGCCTACTAATACGAACAGTACTACCCAAGTCTCATGGACAACGCTACATAACCACATGCAAGGACTGGTGTTTAGAATTTAGGGGGGGGGGGTGGGGGGGAAGGGGGAGTAGTAGGATGAAGCCGCCAAGGAAAGGCATGGAAGTAATAAATATATTCTGTAGGTTTAAAAAAGGTCAGATCCCCTCGTTTCTCTACGCAGCTGCCTTCAGAGCAGCGGCGCGCGCTGCTCTGCGCAGTCACGTGCGGCTGCTGATGCACCGTGATCAATCGGACCCTAGCTGATGTAGGACAGATTGCGTTAATCTATGCTTTCAGTTAAGTTACTTCGTCAAAGAATCTGCAATAGTTGTAAGGCTTAGGTCTAAGACTAGATCTGGTTAGTCGCAACCAGATCTGCAGTTGGGGGTTCGAACTGTCGACCCCTAATGACCTTAAATTTTGGAGTGACATTTGCGGTCCCGTTCCACCCGCAAATGGGTGGGGTCAACCCGACCCGTTTTTTCCATTGACGACCCGTATATGGAACGGGTCGTGCCCTACGGGTCGCACGGGTCGGCCCGTCCCGTTTGAATGGGGGTAAAACGGGTCATAGGTCGACCCGTACCCGCGGGTTGGCATGTCTTGGCAATCCGACCCGTCCCGCGAAAAAATGCGGGACGGGACGGGTCGACACGACCCGTCGGGTGTTATGCCCATGTCTAGGGTGAGCAGGTGAGGAGGTGTGAGAGGAGGTGAGCAGTGCAGGTAGATGCTGCTTTGCTGCAGAGGGGCATGGGTATGCACTCGTTGGCAGAAGGGCATGGTTGTGCACCCGTGGGGAGTCAGGGCTGCTGCTTCCCTTACCTTACTCAATCCCGCTCTTGCACCCACAGCAGCTCTCGTCTCCCTTTCCCTGCCTCCACATCCCTCGTCCAGGTGTTCAACAACCCTCTCTCCGTTCTCCGCACCGAAGGTCAGCATCTCGCAGCAGTGCGCCACATGCTGCTGTTGCTGCAGCAGAGGGGCGCGGAAGTGCACCATTCAGGGCTGCTGCTGCAGTCTTTCTCACTCCCCCCCATTGCACCCACTGCTCTCCTTTTTCCCTGCATCTCCCCCCATTCAGGTGTTCATCAATGCCACATCGGTCCACCCTACTGAAGATCACCATCTCCCAGCAGTGCGCCAGATGCTCCCTTTGTTCCAGAGGGGCGTGGGGGTACACCACTCGGGGCTGCTGCTGCTGCTGCTGCTGCTGCTGCTCTCCCTGTCTTGCTCACTCCCCGTATTGCCTGCAATCCCCCTTCTTCCAGGTGTTCAACAATGCAATCTCCGTCCTTCCATCACAGGATCAAGACATGCCATCAGAGGATCAAGACATGCCATCAGAGGATCAAGACATGCCATCAGAGGATCAAGACATGCCAGCGCTGCGCCACATGCTGCCACTGCTGCAGAGGGGAGTGGGAGTGCACCATGCGGGGCTGCTGTTGTTGCTGCTGTACTCATCCCCCTCTCCTCCCCCCCCTCCACCTCCCTTGTTGCACCCGTCGCCCCTGGTTCCAGGTATTCAACAACGCCATATCAGTGCTCCCCACAGAAGACCAGGACCTCCCAGCAGTGCGCCAGATGCTGCCGCTGCTGCAGAGGGGCGTGGGCGTGCACCACTCGGGGCTGCTGCCCATTCTCAAGGAGCTCATCGAAATCCTCTTTCAAGAAGGGCTTCTCAAAGTGCTCTTCGCCACTGAAACTGTGAGTGCTCTTCGCCACTGAAACTGTGAGTGCTCTTCGCCACTGAAACTGTGAGTGCTCTTCGCCACTGAAACTGTGAGTGCTCTTCGCCACTGAAACTGTGAGTGCTCTTCGCCACTGAAACTGTGAGTGCTCTTCGCCACTGAAACTGTGAGTGCTCTTCGCCACTGAAACTGTGAGTGCTGCTTGCTGGTCTGGTCGGGAGGCGGGTGTTGAGGGGCGTGGGCGTGCACCACTCCGGGCTGCTGCCCATTTTCAAGGAGCTCATTGAAATCCTCTTCCAAGAAGGCGCGTGTTGAGGCGCGTGTTGAGGCGCGTGGGAGTGTATCACTCGGGGCTGAACTTGCCAGCACGCTTGTTTCCACGGGGCGGGAACACACAAGTGGGATGGGACGGCCAACAGAGCAACCCATCACAGAGCAACCCATCACAGAGCAACCCATCGCAGAGCAACCCATCGCAGAGCAACCCATCGCAGAGCAACCCATCACAGCCTAACCACACCGTTCCCCACGCGCCGTCCTTATGCTGGATCACAAACCAACCCCCCCTTGCCCACCCATCCCCACTCCTCTGAAACCCTCGCCATTTCACCATGGGTCTGAATTAAACATGGCAGCACGCACTGTGGTCTTGAGAGCCACGCGCAAGTGGGATGGATGGAGTAGAACCAGGCCGTGCACTCAACGCAACGCAACCCAATGGATCGTCTCCCTTCGCATCCTCCTCATGCCAACCCCTCTGCAGTTCGCCATGGGTCTCAACATGCCGGCTCGCACCGTGGTCTTCACAGCCACACACAAGTGGGATGGCGAGGCCAACCGGGCCATGCACTCGGGGGAGTATATCCAGGTGGGTGGGTGGATGTGACGTGATGGGTGGGAGGGGTTTGGAGGGTTTGACCCATCTATTGAAGCATGTGAGCGTGCTTTGTATCTCTTGCCTTGCCTGCACTCCACTGTGGTCTTCACAGCCACGCACAAGTGGGATGGCGAGGCCAACCGAGCCATGCACTCAGGGGAATACATTCAGGAGGGTGGATGTGATGCAAGGGATTGGCGGGAGGGGGGAGGGGGGAGGGAGGTGGGGGGGATTTTGGGCCTCCCAAGCATGGAAGCGTGCGTCATTTGCGTAGCCTCGCCTCGCCTGCACTCCACTGTGGTCTTCACAGCCACACACGAGTGGGATGGCGAGGCCAACCGAGCCATGCACTGAGGGGAGTATATCCAGGTCGGTATGTGTGGGTGACTGAACTCCCCCACCCCCACCCCCAACTTGTCTAGTAAAGCATGTGAACGGTCTTTTGCTCGTCACAGCCACACACAAGTGGGGTGGGAGGCCTGCCAAGCTATGCACTCAGGGAATGCATCCAGGTGGGTGCGAGTGCGTGAGCAAGCGTGTGCATGTGTGCTTGCGCGGGTGCGCGCGGCAACGCGTATGGGACCTTAATAGCTCGTCTCATAATTCGTGCTTTTGGCGCCTCAAAAGCTGCTCCAGGCGATTGCATCCATTCTCTAGATGTGTGTGTGTGTGTTCAACCAAACCCTAAAGCGAAACTCCAACTTGTTTTATAGGGCCCTGTCCCCTTTCCCACTTACAACCAGATGCCTTGATGAGCGGTTGGAAACGGCTTGAGGTGCCTTAAATTTTCCCGCTCTCTCCCCTCCCCCCACCCCCTCCCCCTTCTTAAACTCCCTCCAAACAACCCTTGTCAGATGAGTGGGCGAGCAGGGCGGCGAGGCAAGGACAGCAAAGGGATTGTCATCGTGATGGTCAATGAGGAGGTGAGGAGGGGTGATAAGGAGTGCGGTGAGGTGGGAAGGGGTGATGGGGGAGTGTTGGAGGTGAGAAGGGGTGATGGGAGGTGGAGAACGGTGCTGTGCGTTGTCACCATGCACATGATATCTCACTGCATGCATGGTGTATACTCACCAGACATATAGGTTGACTGGACACATGCGTTCTGTACCTTTCGAAGCGTTTCTGAACGCGTGTGTCTCTTGAGGTGCCTGAACTGAAAGAAGCGTTTTTCTTGTGCTAGACGTGGTCTGTCTGACTCCTTCCTTCCTCCCACTCTCATCCCTCTCCCCCAGATGACCATGGAGGCGTGCAACGACACGATGCTGGGGAAGCCCGCCCCTTGGACAGCTCCTGTCCTCCTGTCCTCTGCCTGTCCTCTTAAGCACAGAAGCTGTGCATTTCCTGATCTCCCCCGCCCCCAGATGACCATGGAGGCGTGTAAGGAGATGATGCTGGGGAAGCCCGCCCCTTGGACAGCTCCTGTCCTCCTGTCCTCTGCCTGTCCTCTTAAGCACAGAAGCTGTGCATTTCCTGATCTCCCTCTCCCCCAGATGACCATGGAGGCGTGTAAGGAGATGATGCTGGGGAAGCCAGCCCCCTTGGAGAGCTCCTTCCGCCTGACGTACTACGCGCTGCTGAACCTCATGGCTCGAGCCGAGGGGCAGTTCAACGCAGAGCACGTCATCGCACACTCGTTTCACCAGTTTCAGCATGACAGGGTATGTACGTGTGTGTCTCACAGTATGTGTCTCAGTGTCTTGGTTGGTGGGTATTTGTGCATGTGCGTGACTGTGACTGCTCACCTGCTCTCTGCACCTCGAGTGGAGGGGCAGGTCAATGCAGAGCCTCAGGTCAATGCAGAGCCTCAGGTCAATGCAGAGCCTCAGGTCAATGCAGAGCCTCAGGTCAATGCAGAGCCTCAGGTCAATGCAGAGCCTCAGGTCAATGCAGAGCCTCAGGTCAATGCAGAGCCTCAGGTCAATGCAGAGCCTCAGGTCAATGCAGAGCCTCAGGTCAATGCAGAGCCTCAGGTCAATGCAGAGCCTCAGGTCAATGCAGAGCCTCAGGTCAATGCAGAGCCTCAGGTCAATGCAGAGCCTCAGGTCAATGTGCACTCCTTCCACCAATCCCTGCACCACAGCTTACGTGCCTCAGCGTAGCAGGGGCAGCAGGTTAGTTATCAACCCCTTCCCTTCATGGCTCCACTGAGGGGCAATTTGATGGCGAACATGTCGTCGCCCACTCCAATCCTTCCACCAGTTTCAAAACCACAGGGTACGTGCTTGTGTTTATGTGTGTGTGTGTGTGTGTGTGTGTGTGTGTGTGTGTGTGTGTGTGCGCGTGTGTGTGTGTGTGCGTGCGCGCATGTGTGCTCGCGAGTGCATGCCGAGCGCGCATGTGTGTGTGTTTGTGTTAGGATGAGCAGAGGATCAAGCGCCCACGGGCAAAATATGGGGGCTCCATTTTATTTATGTTTGTCTCTTTTTATCTCTCAACCCCTTCCCTTTCCTTAAATCTCCACAGCAAGTAGCAGAGGTGGAGAAAAGGACCAAGCAGCTACACGCAGAGGCAGATGCTTTTTGAGGCGCCTTTAGAATAGTCATCTCATCTCCCTGCATTCTTCCACATCCCTTCTCTTCCCCTCGCTTTCGCCACCAGCAAGTACCAGAGGTGGAGAAGAGGATTAAGCAGCTGCAGGCAGAGGTGGTGGACTCCTTACATACTGTTTTCCTTCCTTCGTTCTCACCCTCTCCCCCCACCCTCTTCCCCTGTCTCTTGACATCCTGCAGCAAGTACCAGAGGTGGAGAAGAGGATCAAGCAGCTGCACGCAGAGGCCGACGCGCTGGAAGCCGGGACTGAGGTGAGACCTTGGGAGATGGAGGGAGGAGGAGAATGGGAGGAGAGAGGAGTGAGGGTGGGAAACGTGAGGGAGGAAAGAAGAGCCAGCACAGGAGGAGTTTAATCACAGAGGAGTACAATCTGTTATCGTGCCACATTCTGCGCCTGTTGCTATTGAGAATTTTTCATTAGGAAAAGGCGAGTCGCCACCCTGCAAACCGATTGTCGTCACCTTGCCCACGCACACGCTAAGGGGCTTGGAATAAGTGTTCTAATCTACACAAGCTCAGAAGCTCCTCCCCCCGGCTACGCCTCTTCATGGCAGGAGGAGATTCGCGAGTACCACGCGCTGCGCCTGTCCCTGGCGGAGAAGGAGAGGCGGCTCAAAGCAGAGGTGCTGCGGCCTGATCGATGCCTGCACTTCCTGCAGCCGGGGAGACTGGTGAGAGTGTGCGGGTTAACTGACAGGGTAGTGAGCAGGCTGGTGAGTGCTTGGTTGGTGCAAGGAGAGGCGGCCCAAAGCAGAGGTGCTGCAGCCTGATCGATGCCTGCACTTCCTGCAACCGGGGAGACTGGTGAGTATGCAGGCAGGGCAAACTGGTAGGGCGCAGGCAGGTCCGAGGGCAAACTGAGTTGTGATCAGGTGGGTGGGGGCTGGATGGATGGTGAGAGAGAGGGGCTTGATGGATGGTGAGAGAGAGGGGCTTGATGGATGGTGAGAGAGAGGGGCTTGATGGATGGTGAGAGAGAGACTTGAAGGCGGCGGTGCTGCGGCCCGACACATGCCTGCCTGCACTTCCTGCAGCCGGGTAGACTGGTGAGGGTGGGGCAGGGGAGGCCGGTGAGGGTGCAGCCAGGTCAATGGGTGAGGTGAGTAGTGAGCAGGTGGGTGGGGGGGTGATAGATGGATTGAAGGAGAGGCGGCTCAAGGTGGAGGTGCTGCAGCCTGATCGATGCCTGCACTTCCTGCAACCGGATAGGCTGGTGAGCATGGGGCGGGGCAGGCTGGTGTGAGTGTTTGATGAATGGAGTCCGTAGGTTACTCGTGCGTGCTTGATTGAAGGAGAGGCGGCTCAAGGCGGAGGTGCTGCGCCCTGACAGATGCCTGCATTGTCTGTAGCCGGGCCAGGCAGCTGGTGAAGATGCAGTCCTTGGGTCACGTATGTATGAATGCATGCATGGATACAAGGATCCAATCCATGCGTTTATGAAGAAGGCCTCTCAAAGCAACACCTCCTCCGCTCTCATCGCCCCCTCATTTGCATTAACTCTTCACCCATTTATCCATTTCCCAACCCCTTTTTTTTTTGCCCTGTTCTTTGCAGATCCGAGTGGTGGATGGGTTGGACGATTGGCGGTGGGGAGTGATCGTGAACGTGATGCAGCAGCCCTCTCAAAGCAACACTTCCTCGGCTCTCATCAACCCCTCATGCCTCACTCATTCCTTCCCTCTCCCCTTTACCCACTCCTTGCCCTTGACTCTCCTGCAGATCCGAGTGGTGGATGGGTTGGACGATTGGGGGTGGGGGGTGATCGTGAACGTGATGCAGCAGCCCTCTCAGAGCAACACTTCCTCGGCTCTCATCAACCCCTCATGCCTCACTCATTCCTTCCCTCTCCCCTTTACCCACTCCTTGCCCTTGACTCTCCTGCAGATCCGAGTGGTGGATGGGTTGGACGATTGGGGGTGGGGGGTGATCGTGAACGTGATGCAGCAGCCCTCTCAAAGAAACACCTCATCGGCTCTCATCGCCCCCTCATGCCACTCATTCCTCACCCCTGTGTCCATACTCTGACCATTATCACTCATTCCCTTGCAGATCGAGTGGTGGATGGGCTGGACGACTGGGGTGGGGGGTGATCGTGAACGTGATGCAGCAGCCCTCTCAAAGAAACACCTCATCGGCTCTCATCGCCCCCTCATGCCACTCATTCCTCACCCCTGTGTCCATACTCTGACCATTATCACTCATTCCCTTGCAGATCGAGTGGTGGATGGGCTGGACGACTGGGGTGGGGGGTGATCGTCAACGTGATGAAGCCCTCAACACCTCCTCTGCTTTCATCGCCTCTCCCCTTTGCCCACTCTGTGCCCTTAACTCTCCTGCAGATCCGCGTGGTGGATGGGCTGGACGACTGGAGGTGGGGAGTGATCGTGAACGTGATGCAGCAGCCCTCTCAGAGCAATACCTCATGTCACTCATTCTTCTCCTCGCCCCTTCACCCACTCCGTGCCCTTGGCTCTCCTGCACATCCGAGTGGTGGATGGGCTGGACGATTGGGGGCGGGGAGTGTTAGTCACCGTGATGAAGCAGCCCTCTCAGAGCAACACCAATTCTGCCATCATCGGCCCCTCTCCCACCGCCTCTTCTCCCTCTTTTCCTGTCAAAACCCTTTATTCTCCTGCAGATCCGAGTGGTGGATGGTTTGGACGACTGGGGGTGGGGGGTGATCGTGAACGTGATGAAGCAGCCCTCTCAGAGCAACAGCAAATCAGCCGTCATCGCCCCCTCGCCCACGGCCTCTGCTGCCGCCGCAGCACCGCTCTCCACCACGGCATACCTGGTGGACACGCTGCTGCTGTGCTCTCCCGTTGTGGAGAGTGGAGCAGCGGACGGCTCCACTGCCCAACTTGTGCCACGCCCGTGCGCCCTGGACGGGAACGGGGACATGCACGTGGTGAGTGGGTGGCTTGTGCGTGCCTTCTTGCCGCTGCTTCTCTCTCTCTCCTTCCCCATCTGATCCACCGCTCTCCACCACGGCATACCTGGTGGACACGCTGCTGCTGTGCTCTCCCGCGGTGACGGACGAGAGAATAGCGGATAAAGGAGGGGTCGGCTCCACTGCTCAGCTTGTGCCGCGCTGGTGCGCGCTGGAAGGCAACGGGGAGATGCACGTGGTGAGTGAATGGTTTCGTCTCTCTCCCTCCCTCCTCTCTCCTTCCCTCCCTTCAACTGCCACTCCTCTACTGCTGCTGCTGCTACTGCTGCCGCTGCGCCGCTCGCCACCACGGCGTACCTGGTGGACACGCTGCTGCTGTGCTCTCCCACGGTGGCGGATGGAGGAGGGGAGGGCTCCACTGCACAGCTTGTGCTGCGCCCGAGCGCGCTGGAAGGGCGGGGAGATGCACGCACGTGGTGAGTGAATGGCTTGTGTGTGGAATGCCTTCTCGCCACTGTCTTTCTCTCTCTCCTTCCCCATCTGCTGCACCGCTCTCCACCTCGGCACTGCACTGCTCGCCAGCACCGCTGCACCGCTGGCCACTGCGGCATATGTGGTCTGGTGGACACGCTGCTGCTGTGCTCTCCTGCACGTGGTGAGTGGGTGGCTTGTGCTTGGCTTCGTCCCTCAGACGTAAGATATCTCCTCTCTCCTCCCTCAGACGTAAGATATCTCCTCTCTCTCCTTCAGACTGTAATGAGGCATTTCTCCATGAATGAGCGCCTTCCTTTCATGCGTGACTGGGCCTTTCTCTGCCCTGTCCTCCTTCCCTTCACTCCTCCCTCCTACGTCCCTCCCCTCCCCTCCTTTCCGCCCTCCCCTCCCGACTACTCCAGATCCCTGTCAACCTCCCAGCAGTGCTGCGCTTAGGAGCGCTCAGAATTGCCCTGCCTATGCGCTCAGAATCGCCCTGCGCACGGATCTTCGGCCCAAGGAGGCCCGGCAGGCCGTGCTGGTGACGCTCAGAGTCATGCATGAGCCGTTCCTCCTCCTCCCTCTCCAACCCCTCCACACATCCCACTCAAGTTACCAGCAGTCGCCAGAATCGGGGCGCTCAGAATTGCCCGGCCGACGGATCTTCGCTCCAAGGAGGCCCAGTAGGCAGGTTGTGGTCCCAAGCTCAGGGCCGTGACTCATCTTCTCTCCCCTCCTCCCCTTCTCGCCATCCTTCCCCTCCAGATCCCTGTAAAGCTCCCAGCAGTGGCCAGAATAGGCGCGCTCAGGATTGCTCTCCCCACGGATCTTCGCCCCAAGGAGGCCCGCCAGGCCGTGCTGGTGACACTCAGGGACGTCACCCAGCGGTTCCCTGACGGGCTGCCGATTCTAGATCCGGTGGAGGTGAGTGAGTGAGGGAGTAAGTGGGTGGATGAGTTGGTGAGGGAGTGAGAAACTGAGTGGATGAGTTGGTGAGGGAGTGAGAAACTGAGTGGATGAGTTGGTGAGGGAGTGAGAAACTGAGTGGATGAGTTGGTGAGGGATCGAGAAACTGAGTGGATGAGTTGGTGAGGGAGCGAGAAACTGAGTGGATGAGTTGGTGAGGGAGTGAGAAACTGAGTGGATGAGTTGGTGAGGGAGCGAGAAACTGAGTGGATGAGTTGGTGAGGGAGCGAGAAACTGAGTGGATGAGTTGGTGAGGGAGTGAGAAACTGAGTGGATGAGTTGGTGAGGGAGCGAGAAACTGAGTGGATGAGTTGGTGAGGGAGCGAGAAACTGAGTGGATGAGTTGGTGAGGGAGGGAGAAACTGAGTGGATGAGTTGGTGAGGGAGCGAGAAACTGAGTGGATGAGTTGGTGAGGGAGTGAGAAACTGAGTGGATGAGTTGGTGAGGGAGCGAGAAACTGAGTGGATGAGTTGGTGAGGGAGCGAGAAACTGAGTGGATGAGTTGGTGAGGGGGCGAGAAACTGAGTGGATGAGTTGGTGAGGGAGCGAGAAACTGAGTGGATGAGTTGGTGAGGGAGCGAGAAACTGAGTGGATGAGTTGGTGAGGGAGCGAGAAACTGAGTGGATGAGTTGGTGAGGGAGCGAGAAACTGAGTGGATGAGTTGGTGAGGGAGCGAGAAACTGAGTGGATGAGTTGGTGAGGGAGCGAGAAACTGAGTGGATGAGTTGGTGAGGGAGTGAGAAACTGTGTGGATGAGTTGGTGAGGGAGTGAGAAACTGAGTGGATGAGTTGGTGAGGGATCGAGAAACTGAGTGGATGAGTTGGTGAGGGAGCGAGAAACTGAGTGGATGAGTTGGTGAGGGAGTGAGAAACTGAGTGGATGAGTTGGTGAGGGAGTGAGAAACTGAGTGGATGAGTTGGTGAGGGAGCGAGAAACTGAGTGGATGAGTTGGTGAGGGAGCGAGAAACTGAGTGGATGAGTTGGTGAGGGAGTGAGAAACTGAGTGGATGAGTTGGTGAGGGAGTGAGAAACTGAGTGGATGAGTTGGCTGTTTGAGACACCCCAGATCGACCAAGGGCCTCCAGGCCGTGCTGCTCACACTCAGGGACGTCACCCAGCGCTTCCCTGATGGGCTGCCCATTCTAGACCAGACCCTGTGGAGGTGAGAGGGTGAGCCATCTGAAACGCAAGAAGAGCTAGAGGCAGTTCCCTAAAGCGCGTCTCATATGCTCTTTGCCCTGCCCACGGACCTTCGCCCCAAGAGGCCCGGCAGGCCGTGCTGGTCACGCTGAGGGGCGTCACCCAGCGGTTCCCTGACGGGCTGCCCATTCTAGACCAGACCCTGTGGAGGTGAGTTATGGAGGGAGGAGGAAGGAAGGGAATGAATGTATGGGCTACTTGATGTGATGTGAGGCACCTTCACCTTCACCGTCACACCAAACCAAGGAGGCCAGGCAGGCCGTGCTGGTGACACAGAGGGACGTCACCCAGCGGTTCCCTGATGGGCTGCCCATCCTAGACCCTGTGGAGGTGAGAGAGTGGAAGGATGGCGGGAGGGAGTGACTGGATGGGCTATTTGAGGCATCTTTCATCTAAGGAGGCCCGCCAGGCCGTGCTGGTGACACTGAGGGATGCCACCCAGCGCTTCCCCGACGGGCTGCCGATTCTAGACCCTGTGGAGGTGAGTGAGTGAGGCAGTGAGTAAGTGAGTGGGCTGGCTGTTGGACGCATCTCAAATCAACCAGAGGCCAGGCCGTGCTGGTCACACTGAGGGATGTCACCCAGCGATTCCCTGACGTCACACTGAGTGTTCGAGACATCTAAAATCTGTCTCCATGTGTCACCCTTTGGCCATGTCTCCCTCCATCTCAGGACATGGGCATCACGGACGAGTCGTTTCTGGACTTGGTCCACTCCATTGACCAGGACGAGAGCAAGCTGGCCACGCATCCCCTTTTCAAGGTGCGTCACTAGCAGATCAGGTTACACTAACAGGTTAGGCCGTTACACTTGTGGAGTCAGCCAAGTGAATTACATTGCACAGTGCATTAAACTGTGAATTGCAGTTAGGTTACATACACTATCAGGATCCGTGAATCGCATTTCACTGTGCACAAGCTGAAGAGGTGAACCCCCCCACCCCCTCACGGTGTCTTTTGAGTCGACTCAAAACACACTTGCAATCAGGTCACACTAACAGGTTCCGTGAATTGGATTGCATTGCACTGTGCACAGGCTGAAGAGATAAACATCCGCCCCCCCTCTCCCCACCTCCTCCCACCCCCTCCCACCCCCCTGCCCCCATCCTCTCTTTTCCACTCCCCTTCCATTCTCCCCTTTCAGGCGGAGATAGCAGGGCAGAAGCTGGAGGTGCTCAAGAGGCGAGGGCAGCTGCTGGCAGTCGAGCCTGTTCGACACCTGACCTGATCACCTCTTCTCACCCTTCTTCTGCTCCCTTCTTTCTTTTCCCCTTGCGCCTCCCCCAGGCGGAGGTAGCAGAGCAGAAGCTGGAGGTGCTCAAGAGGCGAGGGCAACTGCTGGCAGAGGCACAGCGGCTAAAGATGAAGACAAGGGAGTCACAGGTGCGTGCGGAGGAGTGATGAGCGGTGAGAAGGGGTGTGGTGTGGCGCCTTGTTGAGCTTCTCTGACCAGCAGCTGCTGGCAGAGGCACAGTGGCTCGAGATGAAGACAAGGGAGTCCCAGGTCCATGTGAAGGAGTCCCAGGTCCATGTGAAGGAGTCCCAGGTCCATGTGAAGGAGTGTGGTGTGGTGTGGCGGGAAAGTGTGGGATGTGGTTAGCTGCTCCTACTAGCGGCTGTTGGCAGAGGCACAGCGGCTCAAGACGAAAACGAGGGATGTGTGTGTGGAGGGGTGATGTGCGGTGGGAACGTCTGTGATGTGGTGAGGAGTTCACAAAGGAATTGATGAGGGAGTTGATAGGGGAGTGCTTGTGAATGGTTCTCTTCACCTTGTCCCACCCTTCTCTTCTCCCACCCTTTCCTTTCCTCCTCCCTGGCTCTCTCTCTTTCTCTCTCCAAATCCGAGCTCACGAACCACTCTCAATCTTGTTAGCGGCTGGGCCACATCGACTCAGACGGGGTGGTGCAGCTCAAGGGGTCCTCATCTCCCCTCCCCCCTCCCCTCCTATCTCCCGGTGCCCCACCCATCCTCCTCGCCTGTTTCCTTCCCTGCCTTGTCCCTCCTCCACCCAGCTCTCGCTCTTCAAGTCTAAACTCGGGAATCGCTCGCGCGTGCTCAAACGCCCTGGGCACATCACTGTGTGCTCATACGTGCTCAATCCCCCACCCCACCTCTCCCTCTCCTGCCTCTCTTCCCCTGCAGCTTTCTCTGTTCAAATCCGAGCTGAGGAACCGCTCACGGGTGCTCAAGCGGCTGGGCCACATCGACTCAGACGGGGTGGTGCAGCTCAAGGGCCGGGCGGCGTGTGTGGTCACGACAGGCGATGAGCTGCTGGTGACGGAGCTGATGCTGGAGGGGGCTTTCAATTCCATGGACCCGCACCAGTTGGTTGCTGTTACCAGCTGCTTCTTGCCTTCCGAAAAGTCAAATGAGGAGCAGGTGAGTGTGTGCTTCAGGTGAGTGTCTGCTTCAGGTGAGTGTGTGCTTCAGGTGAGTGTCTGCTTCAGGTGAGTGTGTGCTTCAGGTGAGTGTCTGCTTCAGGCCAGACCATGCGGATCACATGAGTGCTTTTCAGCCCCGCCCCTCAAAAGCTGGGGATTGAGCCCTTCTTTGGCCTAAGTGTGGAGGCCATTGCATCGACAGGCGATGAGCTGCTGGTGGCGGAGCCGATGCTGGAGGGAGCTTTTCATTCCATGGATCCATGCGCCAGCTCGTGGCCGTGGCCAGCTGCTTTTTGCCTTCAGAGATATCCAACGAGGAGCAGGTGAGGGAGGGACGTTATTCCCGGGCCGTGAGTAACAAGTGAGTGTTTTCAGCCCCTAAAAAACTGGGAATTGAACCCTTGTTTGTTTTAAGTTTGCGTCCATGTGAGGCGATGAGCTGATGCTGGAGGGGGCTTTGAACTCCATGGACCCGCACCAGTTGGTTGCTGTTGCCAGCTGCTTCCTGCCCTCTGAGAAGGCCAACGAGGAGCAGGTGAGTGAATGATCCTTTGCCCTTTTATATCTGGGGCCATCAGGAACAAGCGAGGGGGCGCTCAACTCCTTGCACCCCTACTTGCTGGTTGCCGTGGCTAGCTGCTTCCTTCCCTCTGAGAAGTCCAACAAGAAGCAGGTGAGTGAGTGAGTGGGTAAGTGAATGAGTGAGTGAGTGAGTGAGTGAGTGAATGAATGAATGAGTGAAGGAGTGAGTGAGTGAAGGAATGAGGGAGTGAATGATCCTCCTTCAGGTCAAGCTATGAGGAACGGTGAGTGAGCCTTGTTCTGGCTGGCTTTGGGTTCATCCTTGTTGCTCTCTTACCCCATCCCCTCTTGCCTCCTTCCTCCTTCTCTCCTTCCCTACAGCCCGTGGCGGCTGACTTATAGCCGCATTACAATGTTCTGAGGGACGCAGCACAGCACATAGCTGAAGTGAAGCTCTGTGGTTCCCCCTCTTCCATCTCTGCACCTCTACCCTCCCTCCCTGCAGCCTGTGGCAGCAGACTTAAAGCCGCATTACAATGTCCTAAGGGAAGCAGCGCAGCATATAGCACGGGTGCAGATTGAAGAGAAGATAGAGGTGGACGAGGAGGAGTACGTGGATCAATTCCGGCCGACGCTCATGAGCGTGTTCTACCAGTGGTCCAAGGTGAGGGGTTCAGTTTGGTACGGAGGTAAAAAGGAAGAATGTGGTGCAGTACTGAGGTGGTCACGTGCAAATAGAGGAGAAGATAGAGGTGGACGAGAAGGAGTATGTGGATCAATACCGGCCGACGCTCATGAAGATGTTTTAACAGTGGTCCAAGGTGAGGGGTCGATTGCGGTGCGGAGGTGAAGAGGAGAGGTGTACTGCGGTCCCAAAAGAGAAAGAGGAGAAGAAAGAGGTGGACAAAGGGTACGTGGATCAATCCGCCAACACTTATGAACGTGTTCCATCAGTGGTCCAAGGTGAAGGTGATGGGATGAGGGATGATTAACAAGAGGATGAAGGGAAGAGGGACAAACACTACAGGCTCTTCTTATGCTTGGGTTTGCTTCTTTCACTTCTTCTGTTTCTCTGTGCCGTCAAAATGGGCTTCTTGGTTTGTTCCTTGGAGTGCAGGGAGAGTCATTTGGCAAGGTCATAGACAGCACGGATGTGTTTGAGGGAACGATTGTGCGTGTGGCTCGACGGCTCGATGAGCTTCTAAACGAGGTAAAAAAAATTGTTAGTTATATTGCAAGTACTAGTATTGGCGCACTCTGAATTCGTGCCTGATCTTCCTGCTATTGCTTTGAAATCTATGTTCATTCCTTTTTCCTCTACGTGTAGATGAAGCTGGCAGCTCAAGCCATTGGAGAGCAAGCTCTTGTAGATAAGTTTACCAAGGCTAGTGAGAGCATTCGCAGAGGCATTATGTTTGCCAATTCGTTGTATGTTGAGTGACGTGGTCAGATCAGATGGACTTTGCACAATGTAATATACATGTGTGTATATTGTTGTGAGCACAAACTATTAGTTACGGTACCGTAAGTAGTTATATAGTTGATGTGAGGAAAAATCTGCCCTTAACGTTGAAGTTGCTAATCTCACCAAATTGTGCGATTTGGTTGGGTGGTGCCGACAATTTGAGTTGTGGGCTATTGTGGTGTGGGCTTGACGAAATTACGGTATTTTCCTCCATCGTGCGCTTCGTTGGTGGACTTGTGAAGTGGAGTTACCTCACTAGGTTAGGGCTTTGCAGGCCCTCAGATTCGTTTTTGGCCTGTCTATCGTCAGACTAGTACACAATTTTAGTCTGAAAATCTCAGAGTCGGTATAAAAAAAAGGCTGAAATTTCAGAGTGTCCTAAAAAAACAGTCTGATCATTCAAAAACAATGTATTCAATGTTTCATCGGAATGTAATCAATGTTTCATTCATCTGCTACCGAAACACACAACACTAAGGGGATTTCCGATAAAACATGCTCTGACAGGGCGAATATATGTGTCAGGGCGAATCTTGTGGTGCGAAAGAGCGAATCTGCAATGTCAGGGCGAGTTTTCTGTGATTGGTCGAAAATTGTTTTGTTCTGACAGCGCAAATCTGTTGTGTCAGGGCGATTTTGTTATGATTGGGCGAAAATCTTGTGCTGTAAGGCTCGGATTTGCTGTGTCAAGGCGATTTTGCGTTGACATTGCGAATCTGTTGTGACCCGTAAGTCCGAATCACCAGTCAAGGACGCGTTTGTACTCTGAATGATCAGAGTACACTCTCAGAAAACTCTGAACTCTCAGAGTTAGCCTAAAAAAAAGTCTGAAAATTACAGAGTTTGAGCCCAAAAAAGTCTGATTTTAACATACACTGGAAAAAAATTCTGAAATATCAGAGTTTTTTGTGCAAATCAGAGAAAAAAGTCTGACTTCGTAGGGCATGGGGCTTTGCCACCAATCGTATGCAAAAACATCACGACCTTTTTTGTTCTTGACCTGAATTGTTTGAATCAGACGGTTCCAAACTCCTCAAAGCTCAAAATCAATGCGGACATCCGAGCATTCTGACCGCGGGCAGAAAAAAACTAAAACCCGCTCGGAAGGAATGCTTTTGCGATGCCTCAACCCAACACCATGAGGCAAGGTGTATGCCTGTATTGCATTTCATGTATCACGGTTCTGATGCGTTCGGTATGCATGTTGGGAATCTTCTGAGCGTATGCTGTGAGTCTTTTGAACGTATTGAGTCCCTAGCATATGTACTCTCGAACGCCACGTAACGCATGACTGGCGACAACACCTCGCTACCATAATTGACCACCAGTTTCCAGCTGAGTAGTCCGAGACATGCGATGCGCTCGGTCTAGGTGTCGAAACTTCCTGGAGTCGTCCCCTCAAGCAAATCCATAGCTTTCCAAGAGCCGCGTTTAGGTCAGTCCAGGTTAGTTGAGCTGAAGTGACACGAATCTTTTGTTTCCCCGTACCATCATAGGAAGTAAGGAACATATACCGTATGTAGGCGTATCGAATCGGGCAAAGGCCTTCGTGCGTAATCAGTTGATATCGGGTTAGCACGTTGTGATCAAAATGTGTTTCCAGCTGTAACACGGGCTTATATGAAAACGTTCTTAAAATCACATTAAGACCCGGGCTTATAAACCAATGCCCACAAACAGGTCAATAGCAGGCTTGTAAAACGCCAATAACACCCACTCTTAAACGCCAAACCCTGGTAGCATAAGCTTATAAGCTACCACCCCAACCCGCTTGATGACCTCGAATGGCCCAATCCAACGAGGAATCAGCTTTCGTGCCCCAGGTAGTTTGAGTCGAATGTTTTTCGTACTCAACAAAATTGGGTATCCCTCTTGAAAAGAGACGTCCCGGCGTATCATGTCGGCATAAGACTTTTGGCGTTGTTGGGCAAGATGCAACCAACGACAAGCTCACTTAAAGCCCGGGGTCAGCATGGTAAATTATCAAGTTATGTGGATTTGAAATATGCTGTATGCGAGATCTGCGAAGCCTATTTCGGTTGGCTGCCTTTGGCGAGAACAATTATCCTTCGCAAACTGTCAGAATGTTATCTTATGCTCTAGCCTGTAGTGGGGTGCTCTATAGCGAGTACAACCCTTCTAGGGTTTCCTATTTGTATCCCCATTCTTGCTAGTGCAATTCTCTTCTCTCTTCTTTCTTTTAAACTTTAACATGCTATCAGAGCAGGTCGATCCCCTTGGATCGATCCTGTGGGTGGGCTCACCACCTTGTTGCTTCCGCTGCAACTGCTACTGCTACCCTCTGTGCTGCACGCCCCGTGGCGTGCGGCAGTTTTTCTTCCCGCCGTGCGCCCCGAGGCGCGCGGCGGTTTTCTGCCCGCCGTGCGCCCCGAGGCGCGCGGCGGTTTTCTGCCCGCCGTGCGCCCCGAGGCGCGCGGCGGTTTTCTGCCCGCCGTGCGCCCCGAGGCGCGCGACGGGTTTCTGTCCCGTCACTCGCCGCGTCGCCCCCGGGAGGCGCTGCGACGGGCGACGGGGACCCGTCGCGCCGCCCAGGGGAGCCGCGCGCGGCCCCTGCTGCCCCGTCGCGCGGCCCTGCTGCCCCGTCGCGCTGCCCAGGGGAGCCGCGCGCGGCCCCTGCTGCCCCGTCGCGCGGCCCTGCTGCCCCGTCGCGCTGCCCAGGGGAGCCGTGCGCGGCCCCTGCTGCCCCGTCGCGCGGCCCCTGCTGCCCTGTCCCGGACCTGCCCCGGCCCCGACCTGCCCCGGCCCCGACCTGCCCCGGCCCAACTCCCGTCGCCCGTCGCGGCGCCCTGGGGGGGGCCGCAAGCGGCCCCCCCCAGGGTCGCCTCGACAGGCGACGGGAGGGGAGTCTACTGGGGGGCCGCGCGTTGCCCCCCCCCCCCCCCCTACCTCCCTACCCTGTTTTTAGGGTTTGGGGGGTGGCGGTTGGGGGGTGGCGGTTTGGGGGTGGCGGGTGTGTGGCGTCGCCTGCTCCTCCTCCTCCTTCGTCTCCCACTGCTGCAGCTAACGCTGAAGGGGGGTGGACGTGTTGGAGCCGGTGGAGTGGTACTAAGGGGGGGTGAAGGGGGAGTGGAGCTAGCGGTGTAGCAGGGGTGTGTGCCAGGGGGGAGTGGGATAGTTTGGGGAAGCTGAATGGAGGTTGCCGTCGTGTCGCCAGCAGCACCTGTATTCCGGGGACTTCGTCCGGTAGCCCAGTCGTAGCCAGCTGTGCCAGCCGCCCGTGGGTCCGTTGCTCGTCTGCCGCTACTTTAGCCGCGTGGCCTGTTACTCCTGTATTCCGGGGACTTCGTCCGGTAGCCGCTGTGCCAGTCTGCCTCCTGTTGCCCGTGTGTCTGCAGCTTCAGCCGTCGCCCCCTATCTCCTCTCCTCTCACTCTCTCTCCTCCTCCTCACTTGCCCGTTGTGACTACCACTAGCTTTGCTCATAATTGTGAACTTAAACTATTGCTTCTTGAACTTGTGCTCAGAATGTGTGGTGACATTGTGATCCACCCTGAGCTTGTACTCCTTTGCTTCCTCTGCTGATTACACCCCACTTTGGCTATGGGGGTGTGTCAGAATGTTATCTTATGCTCTAGCCTGTAGTGGGGTGCTCTATAGCGAGTACAACCCTTCTAGGGTTTCCTATTTGTATCCCCATTCTTGCTAGTGCAATTCTCTTCTCTCTTCTTTCTTTTAAACTTTAACACAAACAAGTGAACATTTCGCACTCACCAAACCTGCGAATCCCACCAACCCAAAGCGACAAATGTGTCGCACACATCCTCTCTCACACATCCTCTCTTGCATCGAGCATGGAAAGTGTTGCTCACCCAAAGTCACCTCACCACTGAATCAGCTCGATGCTAACGGGAAATAGAAAAACAGAGCAAGCAACGCACGTGCTGGGTATCAGTTCCACCTACTCAACGCCACAACAGAAACGTGTTCGAGACGATCCTTACCCCAGATTACTAGCTTACCGACCATCGCAGGAGCTGGCAACAGCAAAGTGTAGGAACGTGCAAGCGCGATTGCACTTACGGGAAGAAGGCCGTGATGACAGACTGGAGACTACGGGTAGCTATGTCAACGGAAGTTGTGCGTTGGCCCCGTCCTCGCTTGGGCGGAGCCGACTTCATGGTCGGTTGTGAGGGGAGCAGCCGACTTGTAGCAGTGGGCGAGCTGGTTGATGAGGAGGTCAACCTGCACGGGAGCCACTGCATGGCCGCCGACTTCAAGATGGCGCCGACTTCCGGGAGGTCGACCTGGGAGGTCGACCTGCGGAGGACGTCAACTTGGTGACGTCAACTTGGGGCAGCCGACTTGGGTGGTCGGCTGACAGGACTGCTGGTCGACCTGGTGGTTGGTCGACAAAACCTGCTGGTCGACTTGCTGGTGGTCGACCTGACCAGGTGGTCGACGAAGGAGGGGCCGACGTCGACCTCGACTTAGGACGCCGAGCAGTTGGGCGTCGAGTAGCTGGGCGTCAACTTAGTGACGCCGACTTCGGGTAGTCGACTTGGGTGGTCGGCTGACAACTGCACTGGTCGACGTGGAGCTGGTCGACCAGGAGTGCTGGTCGACGTGGAGCTGGTCGACCAGGAGTGACGTCGACCGGGAGCTGGTCGACCGGGGGAGTGGTCGACCTGGTGAGGTCGACTTGGGGTGGTCGTCGACTTGGGAGGTCGACGAGCACATACAGGAGCAGCTGGTCGACGTGGTTGCCCGGTCGACCAGGTTACCTGA